AAAAAGAAGAAAGAAAAAAAAGAAAGAAACATGAAAAAAACAAAAAGGTAAAAAACAAAAATGAACAAAATGTAGGAGAGAGAGAAAAAAAAAAAGAGACGAGAAAAATAAAAAGTGAGAGAGAAAAGCACGGGATAGCGCGGGAATGGAGAACAGTGGCTAGTCAAAAAAAAAAAAAAAAAAAAGTAGTACAAAGCGTCGCTCGGGATACGACGAAGTGTGTAAAGTAAAAAAAAAAAAAAAAAGTAAAAAAATTAGAGGGACAGAAATAGAGATAGAAATAGAAATAGAAGAAGCGAGAAGAAGAAAGTGTGCCACTTACCCTAGCTTCTGCGGTGAGTATATAACCCTGCTCCAGGGCATTCGCGAAGTCAAGCCTCTTTCCCGATGGATCTTCGATAAGCTCGCCCGCTATAGGATCTACTATCCCGGCATTCACCGCCTCTAACAAACTAACGATTTTACCGGTTCCAGGCACTTTGATCACCGTGCTCGTCGGGTCTATCGAGGCCGAGTCGACCGCCTCCTTCAACGTGGACAACGCTGCCGCGGGGCGGAACGGGTCGCGAAATTTACCGGTCTCCACGTGATAAAGGCCCAACTGTAACGCGTCGATGAACGAGAAACCGCGGCTCGGGGTGATCAACAGACCCCCCTCGATCGCCCCCGACAACCCGTACAGCCTCAACGTCTCCGTCTCCAACACGTCCCCCTTCTCGGCGTCCATCAACCCCCTCTCGAACGCCTCCGCCAACCGTACCAATCTCCTCCTCCTCGTGTCCTTGACCAAAGCCGACCCCGGGTCCACGATCCCGAGGCAGACCGCCTCCCTCAACGTCATCCGCTCCCTCGTCCTCGGATCCATCACCTTCCCGTCACCATCCTTCTCCAACCATCCCCTCTCGATCGCCTCCTCCAGGCTCAACGGTTCAACCAGATACACCTCCGTCTCTCCAACCCGGACCAACCTTGCCGGCCCACCGAATCTCCCCGTCCACGACGGGTCGAGGATCCGTCGTTCGGCGACCGCTTCCCCGATCGGGACGAAGCGACCCGTCCCCGGATCCCTGACCACCGCTGCCCTCGGGTCAACCAGTCCCCTCTCCATCGCCTCCTCCAGGCTCACCTCCTCCGAGTATCGGGAGGAGGGGGTTGGGAAACGGGCGAGAGGTTTGTCCAACGTGACGAGCAGGCCCCGCTCGAAGGCTGCGTCGATCGGATAAAATCGTTCGGTCCTCGCGTCGAGGACGCGGCCGCGGTCGATCGCTCCGCTCTCTATCGCGCGCTCCAGGGAAACGAGTTGGCCGGTGATCCCGTCCTTGAGCGCCGTGGTGGCCGGGTCGAGGAGGCCCGCGTGGAACGCTGCGGCCAAGTCCCGAGTCTCGTTGACGCGGGGATCGACGAACAGGCCTGTCTCGCCTCTGTACAAGTCGCAATTCACCGCAGCCTCCACGCCCAGGGGAAGATTCGAGGGGACCACGTGACCCCTTCTCGCCGCCTCGCGTAGATCGATCGGTGGCTCGTCGTCGAGTAGGTAAGTGCCGCGGGTGTCGTCGACGAGTTTCGAGGAGATGGCCAGGGAGAGGGGCACGTATATGTCGCGACGCGCGTCCCGAACGATGGACGAGAACGCGTCGATCAGCTCGGCCTCGCAGGCCTCGGCCAGCGTCAGCCCCCCTCCTCTTCGATTGGCGGCCGTCGGGTGGCGGAACGTGCCCGTCGCCGGCTCGTACATGCCGATCGCGATCGCTTGGTGGAGGCAGAGCGGGCTCTCGATGTCGACGATCAGCCCCGACTCGAGGGCCTCGGTCAGCGTGAGGGCCGCCCCGCCCTCCCTGAACACGCCCGACCGCCTGTCTATCACCCCTGCCCGACACGTCTCGGCCAGCGAGAGCAACCTGCCCGCCCTCCTGTCCCAGTAACAGGGGAGGACCGGGCTCACCAGGCAATTCCTCATCGCCTCGTGCAACGTGACCGCCTCCCCGTGCTCGGATCCGTTATCTTCCCCGTACGGTCGTCATACAACCCTTGGTGGATCGCCTTTGCAGCGAGACGGCCGCCCTGTGGTCCACGATCAGCCCCGCCTCGTACGCCTCGCGAAGGGACACGCTCGAGTCCTGGCTCACCCTCACCCTGCCCGACCCACCGTCGATGTACCCGCTCCTGATCGCCTCGGCCAGGGATATCCTCTCCCTGAAACCGCTCCTCCCGTCCTTCACCGTCACCGAGTCCGCGTCTATCAAATTCCCTCTCACAGCCTCGACCAGGCTCAGGTATACACCCGTCTGGGGGTCCAAGAATTTGTTCGTCCTCTCGTCGAGTATCCCCTTGGAGATCGCCTCGCTGAACGTCATCGGTCGGCGGGCCTCGAGAAGGAGGCCCCGCTCCAACGCCTCCCGGAAATCGATCGGCTTCCCCTTCTCGTTGGTCACGGTGCCCGTCTTCGGGTCCACTATCAGCTCCTTGATCGCCTTGCTGAACGTGATGGCGCGGCCGTTCGGCTGGCGGACGACCACGGCTGTGCTCGGATCGATCGCGCCCACCTTGATCGCCCTGTCCGTCTGCAGCCTCTCGCTGGTCTCGGGGACGATGAAGCGTCCTGTGCTCGGCTCGTACAGCCCTTTGAACACCGCCTCGGGCAGGGATATCTTGCGCTTGGCCGGGACCACGAGGCCACGTTCCAGGGCGTCCGTCAACGATATGTGGGCGCCAGTGGACGGGTCGAGGGCCGTGGCGGTCCCAGGATCGATCAAACCCTCCTCTATGGCCACCCCGAGGGAGATGATCTCGCTGCTCCTCGGATCCTTGACCGAGGGACTGTCCTTGGCTATCAATCCCTTCTTCAACGCGTCCTCGAGGGTGTAACCGACCCCGTCTATGTGGAAGAGGCCACGCTCGGGATCGTAGGTCTGGTGGGCCAACGCCTGTTGCAACGACCAAGGCTTCACCGTGCTCAGGATGTACCCTTTCTCGTAGGCAACGTTCAACGTCATCGGTGGGGGGACGTCAATATGCCTCTCTCGAGATCGATCACTCGTCTCTCCTCTGCCTCGCTCAGGGACAACACCTCGTCGCTCCTGTCGTCCCTCACCACGGTCGTCCCCCCGTCCACGTAGTTCGTCTCCATGGCCTCTTTCAACGTCGTCTCCTCGCCCGTCCTCGGATTGGCTACGAGGCCCGTCCTCGGGCAATAATACTCCCTCACTATGGCGTCGATCAGGGTGGGCGCGAAACTCGACGTGATTATCAGACCTCTGTCGAGGGCGGCGGTCAACGCGAGCGATTCCCCCGTCCTCGTGTCCCGGACACGGCCGGTCGAGGAATCGAGCAGCCTCGGCTCCCGAAGCGCCTCCTCCAACGTGAGGAACGTGCCCGTCTTGCTGTCCTCGCACTCGGTGATCAACGCGTCGATTATACCCCTCCTCACGCTCTCCTCCACGTCGACGAGCTGGCCGGTCAACGGGTCCCTTATCCTGCCGCTCTGCTCGTCGTAGAGCCCCTTCCTGATGGCCGCCTCCAACGAGATCGGTTTCCGCGATTCGGGCACGATCAATCCCCTCACGAACGCGTCCTCCACGTCGATCTTCGCGCCGGACTCCAACACCTCTTGGAGGGAGGAGAGCTCGTCGTTGACCGGGTCCCGGATATCGATCGAGTTCGGATCGATCAGGCCGAGCCGGATCGCTTCGTTGAGCGGGAGGGTTCGATCGGTGGCCGGGTCGCGGACGAGGCGGGTTGCGGGGTCGAGGAGGCCCATCTCGACCGCGTCCCGCAGCGTGAAACTGCCTTCTCGGCCGTCCGGTTGCCTCGTCGATAACGTCGGTCCCTGCTTTATCAGGCCAGTTCTCACGGCCTCGAAGAACGGTATCCTCTTGCCAGTCTTCGGATCGACCATGTATCCGAGGTTTCGATCTACGAGTGGTTTGGCGATCGCCTCGCGGAGGGACACGTATCTGTCGATCGTTTTGCAGGACAGATCCTTGACGAGGACGTCGTCCGGGTCGAAAATGCCGAGGTCAAGGACGAAGTCATGGAAGGAGACGACCTCGCCCGTCTCGGGGTCCGCGAACTTTTCCTTCTCCGGGTCGAACGCCCCCTGGGCAACCAGATCCCCAGCCGTCAGATCGGCCGTCACCCGGATCGAGAATCTCTCCTCCTCTTCCGACTCTCCGTCTTCCTCCGTTTCCATCGATCCTCTCTCGAGTTCCTCTTTCTCCGTTTCAGTCCGCTCCTCGCCGATATCCCGCTTCTCCGTTTTTGACGCTTTGGGTTCTTTCTCTATCATCGCGCTCTTTTCGTCCAGTTTCGATGTTCCAAGCTCTCTCCTCGTTTCTTCTTCGCCTATCTTGGATTTTTCACTGCTTTCCACTCGTTCCTTGGCAATATCTATTTTAGATACGAGTTCCTTCTTCGTTTCCACTTCTTCTTTGTCAATATCTATTTTAGATACGAATTCCTTCTTCCATGTTTCCACTTTTTCTTTGTCAATATCTATTTTAGATACGGGTTCTTCCTTCTTCGTTTCCACTTGTTCTTTGGCAACATCCACTTCTGATACAAATTCTCTCTTGCTCTCTGTCAGTTCTTTGTCTACGTCTGGTTTTGATACAGTTTCTTTCTTGCCTTCTGTTAGTTCTTTGTCTACGTCTAGTTTTGATATAGATTCCTTCTTCGTTTCCACTTCTTCTTTGGCAACATCCACTTCTGATACTCTCTTGCTCTCTGTCAATTCTTTGTCTACATCTAGTTTTGATACAGATTCTTTCTTAACTTCTATTTGTTCTTTGCTAATGTCTGTTTTAGATGCAAATTCTTCTTTCCTTTCTAATTGTTTTTCATCCACTTTGGATACAGGTTCCTTCTTCGGTTCTGTTTGTTCAACTTTTGATACCGGTTTTTCGTCTACATCCACTTTGGATACAGGTTCCTTTTTCGGTTCTGCTTGTTCAACTTTTGATACGGGTTCTTTCTTGTTTTCTATTTGTTTCTCATCAATATCTATTTTGGATACAGGTTCCTTCTTCGATTCTGCTTGTTTTGCATCAATTCTTGATACAGATTCTGTTTTACTCTCCACTTGTTCTTTATCCATTTTCAATTTCAATACTTGTTTTACATCACTTTTTGATACAGGTTCTTTCTTGCTCTCCACTTGTTCTTTGTCTACATCCACTTTGAATACAGGTTCCTTCTTCGCTTCTGCTTGTTCTGCAACAATTTTTGATACAGGTTCTTTCTTACTCTCCACTTCTTCTTTATCCATTTTTAGTTCAGATTCCTTTTTCAATTCTACTCGTTTTACATCATCTCTTGATACAGATTCTTTCTTACTCTCCACTTGTTCTTTATCCATTTTCAATTCTACTTGTTTTACATCACTTTTTGATACAGGTTCTTTCTTGCTCTCCACTTGTTCTTTGTCTACATCCACTTTGAATACAGGTTCCTTCTTCGCTTCTGCTTGTTCTGCAACAATTTTTGATACAGGTTCTTTCTTACTCTCCACTTGTTCTTTATCCATTTTTAGTTCAGATTCCTTTTTCAATTCTACTTGTTTTACATCATCTCTTGATACAGGTTCTTTCTTCTTACTCTCCACTTGTTTTTTGTCTACATCCATTTTTAGTTCAAGTTCCTTTTTCAATTCTACTTGTTTCACATCACCTTTTGATACGGGTTCTTTCTTTGTTTTACATCATCTCTTGATACAGGTTCTTTCTTCTTACTCTCCACTTGTTTTTTGTCTACATCCATTTTTAGTTCAAGTTCCTTTTTCAATTCTACTTGTTTCACATCACCTTTTGATACGGGTTCTTTCTTCTCTCCACTTGTTCTTCGTCTATATCCATTTTAAGTTCAGATTCCTTTTTCAATTCTACTTGTTTTACATCATCTCTTGATACGGCTTCCATTTTACTCTGTTCTTTCTCCATATCCATTTTCGACGCGAGTTCCTTCCTCGACTCTACCCGTTCTTCTTTCCATCCATCCATCTTAGATACAGTTCCTTTTTACTTTCCACTCGTTCTTCGACAATATCCACTTTTCTAGATCCTTCCTTCTTGCCTTCCATCCGTTCTTTCGCCATAAAATCTTCCGACCTTTCTCCACGAGCCGCTCCCTTCGAAACCTTCCCCATTTTCTCCACTTCCTCCCGTGTCTCCGATTTTTCTCTTTCCTTTTCCAATACCTTTTCCACCCTTCTACCACCCTTGTCCTTATCCTTGCTCGAGGCGTCGCGAACGGCGTCGTACACCGCTTTCCCAGCGAGGACCGGTGCTGCCACCACCGCCAAAAGGCCCAATTTCGCGGCCTGCTTCAACGAGACCGCGCCACGATCGTCCCTCCCCGTCACGGGATCGATAATCCCCCTCTCGACCGCTTCCCTCGCCGTGACCGTGGCTGCGGCCCCCGTGTCGTAAATTACCGTGTTCGGATCGATCAGTCCCACGTCCATAGCCTCGGTCAACGTGTACGGCTCCTTCGTCTCTGGGTCCAAGAATCTCTCCGTCGCCTCGTCGTACACCCGATCGATCGCCGATCCACGATCCCCTGCTTCCTCATCGTCCAACAACCCGCACTCGATCGCCCGTCGTATAGTCATCGAGTGGCCCGTCGAGGGGTCGGTGTACGTGCCCGCCCCCATGTCGAGCAAACCCCTCTCGAGGGCGCGGTCGAACGTCGTCCTGATGTCCTTCGTAGCGAAGCTCTCCCTCCTCTCCGACTCGTCCCTCACGATGCCCCTCCCCCGGGCCTCCTCCATCCCCATAACGTCCCCGGTCTCCACGTTCCTCACCCCATCCCCACCCGCCAACTCGTAACCGGGCGAGATGTCCACGGTCCTCGTGGTGACCGTGTGATACGACGTGACCGTCTGCGTGGAGGAGGCGACGCACGAGGCGGTTTCACGATCAGCAAACCGGACTCGATGGCGGTGGCCAGGCCGACAGGCGTCCCCGTCGTTGGATGAACGTAAACGCCTTTCTCCCGATCGATCAGGCCCGCCTCCAACGCCTTGGTCACCTCCATGCTGTCCGAGGTGGCAGGGCAGGGCAACGACATTATGAAGTCGCCCCTTATAGCCTCCTCCAGGGGCAGACGCTCCTCGGTGATCGGGTGTCGTATCTCTTTGCCGGACGGGTCTATCAAGCCCCGCTCGAGGGCGACGGCGAACGTCATCCCGGCCGGGGGGATGACTCTCTGTTGATGATCGTCCGAGTCGGCGAACACGCAGCTGCTCTCCACGGCCTTCACCAGGCCCACGCTCCCCCCTCCGCTGGTCTTGATCAACGATCTGTCCGGGTCGATTAAGTCGCTCTCGATGGCGCCGCGCAGGGTCTCGGTGCGGCCGTTGGAGCAGGTGAGCTTGGACAGCGGGTCGACTATCTCGCAGAGGATCGCCTCGGCGAGGGTTAAGTGGGCGCCCGTCTCTGGATGGACGACCTTCCCCTCCCTGGGGTCGAGCAGGCCTTGTCTGTAGAGGCCGGGGATCGACAAACTCTTGGCCAACGGTATCAAAATATCGCCGCTCACCGGGTCCAATATGCCTCGCTCCATCGCCTCTCCTATGCTTAGAACGTCGCCTCTCTGTGGATCGATAATCCTCCCCGCCCCTGCGTCTATCCTGTTGCTGCGAATTGCCTCGGACAAGGGGGAGGAGGAGGAGGTATTATCGTTGCTCAACAACTCGGCCGTTTCTTGGTCGATCAATCCGCTCTCGAGCGCCTCCGTCGGTCTCATCACTCTCTTCCTCATCTTCTGTAGGACAATCGTCTCGATCTCGGCGGACGGTGGCCGGGGAACGGCGTAACACTTAATCGGAGGGTCTCCCTCCGATTCCTCTTCGGTTCCTCTCGAGACCGAGGGCTCCTCGCTGGGCGCGGTCGGGGAGAAATCGGTGGCGGAATCGACGACCGAGGTGGAGCCGATCGCCGAATCCGATTCCGAGACGGAGACGGAGGAGGCGGGCGGTTTGCCGGTAACGGAGATCTCTTCCTGATCGGCCGGCGATAATTGCTCCCTCGCGGCTCGTTCCGCTTCCATCCTGTAGGGCGCGACACTGTCTTTGGCGGTGGGGGTGGACGACGTGATCGGGACGAGCGGCGACCCGATAACGCTCACTATGCCGAATTTCGCGGCGTCGAGCAGGGATATCTTTCTGCGTTTGTCCACGTTGTATCGCGCCGTGTCGGAATCCACGATTCCGCGTTGCACCGCTTCCGCTATGCCGATGTCCCTCCCGGTGACGGGATCTTTAACGACCACCAGCTCGGGTGGCAAGGTGCCGTCGGACAACGCTTGCAACAACTCGGTCGATTTCCCGCTTTCCGTCGATATGACGAGCGCGGTGCTCGGATCGTAGATCAAGTCTCGAGAAACTCTGACCGGGTCGGGTATGGTGTGACTCGTCTCGGAAATTTTTATCTCGAACTGCTTGGACGGGTCGTCGGATCGGCTCACCTCCAACTTGTCCGGCTCGCCGACGACTTTCGTGATTCGTAAGAGTCTGTGTTGGGTCGAATCCCTCGCTTCCGCGTCCCTCGTTTGCTTGCCGTCGTCGAGAACGATCAATCCCTCGTCGATCGCCTCCTTCATCGTCATCTTTTGCGGGCTGGTGTAATGGCCGGTCGAGTCGAGGATATTCTTCTCCAAGCTTCGTAGAAGGGAAACTTTTCTCCCGTTGTTCGGATCGATCACGAGGCTCGAGTTGGGATCGATTATCCGCAACTTGACGCACTCCTCGAACGAGACGAGTCTGTCCGTGCCGGGTATTATGAAGAGGCCGGTGGTCGGATCGAACAATTTTCTTTCGATCGCCTCGGACAGGGGCCAACCCTCGGTGGGCAATTCGAACACGCGTTTCTCGGTCGTCGACGAACAACCGTCCTCCCTCGCGAATTCGTTCGCCACGCTCGTGTCCTGATCTTGATCCGGATCCTTGTACTTGAGCACCCACGATGGGGAGGAACGCGCTGCCTCCGCCGGATCGTTCGTCCTCGTCGAATCCCTTATCTCGCTCCTCGTTTTCGTTTCCTTGACGCCCGACGAGTGGACCACGCGATCTTTGGCTATGATGGTGGTGGTCGTGCCGATCGCTCTCGGAACGTCGTCGTTTAGAGAGGAAACGACGTTATCGACCACGTCCGTCGTTTCGAACGAGATGGCGCTGGCGGTGGTCCTCGTATCGTCGACTTTGTCCACGACGTCCCTCCCCCCTCTCTCAACCCGAATTTCCTTCGTTCTCTGAGCGGTGACGGTTACGTTCAAAAGACCGGTGAGCAAAGCGGCGCCGTCGGGTGTGATGAGGCCACGCTTGATGGCGTCCTCGAGAGGTATCGGTTTCTTGCCACGTGAACGATCCAACAGCATGCCGGTCCTCGAGTCGATCGACTCGGAGAGAATCGCCTCGAGAAGCGTCATCTCTCCACCATCTTCCCTCGCCATCCCGATCCCTCGGTTGAGCATCTCCGAAACTTCCGCTCGGACGTAGCCGAGCTCCTCTGCCTCGGCCAACGAGATCGTTCTCCCTCTGCCGGGATCCAACGCGTATACACCGACGCCCGACTCGGTCGTACCGATCAAACCTTTGGCCAGAGCGGCGTTCAAGCTCACGTATTCGCCGCTCGACGGATCCTTGAACCCTTCCACGTCGAATATCGTTCTACGAACGAGCGACACGATCGATCCTCTCTCCACCGCCTCCGAGATGCTCGTCTCCTCCTTCGTCTTCGAGTCCACGTACGTTCCCCTTACGGGATCGATCAGGCCGCGGTTCAACGCCTCGGACAAGGTGACCATCTCGCCGGTTCTCGCATCCTTTACGGATCTCAATCGATCCTCGTCGAGGATCCCCTCCCGCATCGCCTCGATCACGGACAACTTGGCCCCGCTTGTCGGACTCACGATGTTCCCCCTCTCGTCCAACATCCCCGCGTCGTGGCAATCTTTCAAGGTCACTGGTCGAGCTATCAGGCGCGACTCGCGCGCCTCCTTCAGGGAAAGAAGGCTACTACCCCTGCTCCCGTATCTCCCGCTCCTCGAATCGATTATACCGAGATCGAGGGCCTCCCGTAGACTGGTCTTGTCGCCCGTTCCCGGGTCGACGATCTCCTTCACGGACGGATCCAGAATCCCCTTCTCCACGGCCTCGTCGAGGGTGTGACACTCGCCCGTGACCCGGTCCAGGACACGGCCGGACTCGTCCACCAGGCCGTGGTTTATCGCGTCGGAGAGGGTGAACGCGCCCCTCTTGACCGTGACGGTGACGTCAAGCTTGGCCAGGTAACCCCTCGCGTGGGCCTCTTCGACCGACAGCCTCTCCCCATCCTCGGTAACGAGCTTGCCCGTGCGCGGATCCAGTGCGGAACGTGCCTCTCTCGAGTCGTCGTCCTCGTCCTCGTCACCGTCAACGTAGTGGTGGTGGTGGTGGTGGTGGTCGTCGTCGTCGTCGTCGTCGTCGTGCTTCTCTTTTCGCATCGCATCGGCTACGCTAACCGCGCCCTCTCTTTGGTAAGTTACCTTCGCTCTATCGGCCGCGACACCGTCCGGTTTCTCAGCGTCGAACAGCTCCCGCTGGATCGCCCCGAGCAGAGACACCGGCCGTCCCTCCTCGTCGTATCCGCACGGACCTAGGAGACGATCAGCGAGGCGCGTCTCGATCATCTTCTCGCGGGCTGCCTCCTCGATCGTGACGGTCTTTTTGCCGTCCCTCGAGCACGTTATCCTACCCTTCCTAACGTCCAAGATCCTAAGGTTTATCGCCTCGCCACCGTCAACACATCCCCGGTACGTGGATCTACGATACCCCTAGCATCGATTACGTTCTCTCTACCTATTATACCACCCTCCTCCGCCCTCTCCTCTAAACTCCTCTTTAAACTCCTAATCTCGCTAAAACGCTCGCTAGCTGCGTCCTCGGTCGTGCTGATGGTCGTGCTGGTCATCCTCGACGACTCCTCCTCGATCCTCCTCCTCCTCTCCACCTCCTCCTCTTCCTCCTGCTCGCGTTTGCGAGACGTTCTCTCTTCCCGATCGATCTCGATCTCACGAAACTGACGCGCATCCTGACCGACTGCTGGTCCGCTTCGACCGTCGCTAGCGACGCGAGCGCTCTCCTGCGAGCCGGGGCGGCGTGTCGAGTCGCTGGACGAAACTATAGTCTCGCTCCTCTCGCTTATCTCCGTCCTCTCCGTTCGTTCCGTCCTCTCGTGTCGTTCCAAGCTGTACCTAAAGGTCGTATATATTGTGTGTGTATATTGTGAATTCGAGACGGGACGTTTCGAATTACCGCGAGCACGCGTTACCGCTATTCTCGGTGACGATTTACGGGTAACGATATACTCACTGCGATTGCGTGTAGTGCGTGGTCGTCGAGGTGTAACGTTCCTCGCAGCTGCTGTTCTCGTAGATGTTGAACTCGGTGCGGAACGTCCTCAGCGGCCTCTGCTCCTGGAGAGCGCGCTGAAACCGGAGAAACGTGAGACGATCGAATATCACCTCCGATTACGAGAAGAGGAAAAGAAAAGAAAAAAATATTCGTCGCCGCTTAAGTTTAAATTTAAATTCGGATCGAAAAACCGTTGCCGTAGCGTTTCGCAATGTTTCACAACTAGGAGAAGGAGGAGGAGGAGGAGGAAGAAATTTAAAAATTACCGCGTTTACGATCCTTTTAGTGAGCGTCATCATCCGCGCTTCCGTTCCTCGTTCCTCGAGTACGAAGGAAAGGAAAGAAAGAACGAAGACGAGATCGAAAAATCGAGATTCGAAACTGTCGTCCACTCGTCCGCGTATCGAATCGCACCACTTTTAGGTTTGGAGAAACTGTGTCGCGTGTCAGGGCTGCACCTCGTTCACGTACGTGCACTTTCGCGAAAAAAACATGTTGGCGCGGAACGATGACGTCGTTCGAGGCGCCGGTTTGATCACCGCGACTATCTCCGCCCGACTGACTGACTCAACTGCCCTCGGTTGGCAAGCGGCCGACCGCCTCGTAAACTCGGGGAAAAACGGTAAAGGCATCCGTTTGTGAAAAAGCCAGATTCTTTTTTTAGAAACACGACCGATCGCTCTTTACCGGCCGAGAGAAGAACGCGCTCGCGGTTGACCACGCGCAGCGTTTTTCCTCTCCCTTTTCTCGCTTGTCTCGCTGATCTCGGAACGGTACGCGAGGAGAAATTCACTTCCCGACGCGAGCCAATATACATCGATACGCAGCGATATCGAGGCGGTATCTTTGCGAAGGTTTACCGGTGTAAAATTAAAGGATCGCGTAATCGACGAGCAACGCGTAAACGCGACGACACGTGTTCCGACCGATCCCGTGCACGTGACTCGTCGTCGTCGTCGTCGTCGTAGAAGGAAAAAACTGCATTCGCGGAGACCGATTTCTCCTCCATCCCCTCCCACTCTTTCCCCCCTCCTTTCCCCTCCCCACTCCGTGTAACAACTTTAACCGAACGCGACACCAACCGTCAACCGTCCCAATTTTTCCCTACACACGGAATACTTTCGTACCTTTCGTACGATCTTAATCGTGGGCATGGCGGACGTCCTGGTTGTGTCCACGCGCATCTCGTCCGACGATCGTTAAAGGAGGAAGAGCCAGCCAGGGAGGCCAGTTTCGATTATTCCCCGAAAGATTATTAGAACGGAAAACGCCCGGCGATAATAACGCCGGCAGCCTAATGATACGTGTCTCTGCGACACCGCGAAAGCGCAATAAAGCGAGATGCGATAACTAGCGCCAGCTGTACGAGCGTTAGGTTCACTATGCGCCGTCGCTCGTTCGCGCTTAACGAGCCTCTCGAGTCGGACACGCTCGCGTATCGATCCCCGACGGCCGAGGAGGCGGGAAGAATGAAACTTCCCCGCTGTTTGCGCATTATTCCAAAGGCGAACCAGTTTTATTATGCGTAAGTATGTCGCGTGGGCGAGATATAATAGATCGGAGAGGGACAAGGGGATTCGGTCATTGCCAATTTTGTCCGTGTCGACAATTAAGCGGATCGGGACGATTAACATTTTGCGGGTCGGCTATTATGCCCCGTGGCAAGGTCAGCGTCGTAATAAAGCTACAGCCGCGAACCGTACGTTATTTATTCCAAATCGGTTAATTATTCAGAATCACGTGCAAGAATAAACTTGTGTTTTACATCGTCTACATATCTATACTAGGTCGCGTTTGTTATTCTTACTTCTTATCTCTCCATCTCTCCCGTTTAAATACATATATATATATATATATTAACGTAAAAAAAAAGAAAAAATTATACGCATTAAGTTTATCTGTAAAATTGTGTTATCGGTGGGAACTGGAGCGTTAAAAGATAAACTTCCTAAGAAAATCGTGCGATTTGCAAACCGGTAATAACGAAAGAAATAAAAAAAGAATGTTAAAAATGTAGGAAATTTATCTATCGATGATAAATCTATCGTAATAATAAGAAGAATCGAGAAAGAAAATACGTTACCTGCAGAGACGTGTCCTCGGGATACTGCGTTGCCAGCTGTCTAACCCGATCCTGAAGGATATTGACAAGCGTGGTGTATCTTCTGTTGAGGGTATCTAGATCACGCGCGATGTCGTCCACCGTCGAGACGAACTCTCGACGAGGCTTTTTCACCGAAGCATCCAAAGACGGGCAGATATCTTCCAACTGTTCCTTGAACGCTCGGAGCCTTTGTCCGTAGATCTAAGGGTTTCGGTTAGCCCGTTACGGTTAGTAGATAGTATTAGAATCTCGCCTGTGCGCTGATGCTTTCTACCCTTCTATCCCCTTAGCAATCCCTAGTACCACATCGTGTCCTAAGGAACCCGTCAGTCTTTTGAAGCAAGCCAACGAGGAACTGTATAACGTGTCGAGATGAACTGATCGCGGGGAAGAGGGGGGGGAGGGAGGGCGAGAGGCGATCCCATAGCGATTTTCAAGCGGCTCGCGACCAGTTAATTCGGAACATGGGAAAGCTATTGCGACAAGCGTGTATTGAACACCGTCAGCGTGTATCGTGTCGCGAGCCAAGCGTAACAACGACGTTACTTTCTTTCTACTTTGCGTTACGTTACATCACGTGCTAGATTTACAGGATTTCGTGGGATCGAACGATCAGTTAATAACCGTGCCTTCGGTTATTTTATTGACAAATAAAGAAGGAAGAGGAGGAGGAGGAGGAGGAAATGAGTCGTGTGCGCAATCGCAACACGGGACAAATTGAATTTTTAACGTATGATATACACGAATTATGGACGTGTTTTTGAAGCAAAGGAAGGAACGGTATTATTCGTGTTTGCCGATCGCATCGCATAAAAGCCAAGTATGTACGCGAACGATTGCAAACAACGGCTTCGTTATATTTTAAAAAATTCTCTCACCACCTTTCTCTGTGATAAAGCGTTACACGAAAAGCCTCGTATGCGCTTACAGCGATTGCTGTAACGGCGAGGAAAGGTTGTTTATTTAGAAAAGCGTTCTTTTTAGTTTATAGATATGCGGAAGCGGAGAGAAAGGCTCGAGATGCGTCCTTGATCCCTGGAAACAAGTGAAGAAGAAAACTCGAGAAATGTCTAAAATATCGTCGTTCCTGATCGCCGATCAGAATCAAGGCGGCGAAGAATCATCGATCGTTACGGGCCTCTGACTCTCGTTGGCCGTATCGATCTGAATAATCCGCCGTAGAACAAGCTCACGTAGAACCCAACCGTTGAAAAGGTTGCGCCGGCTGCGAAGTAGGATCTCCGTCCGGTAGATAGCGATAGCGGCGACAGTGACACAACGGTAGCGTACGCTTTTTTTTTCCTAGTGATTTGCAGCTTGATGATAGTTTTTGCGCCACGATGACATGGAGGGCGTCCACATAAAGGCGGGGAAAACACCGATGAGGACGACGTCGACGTGTACACATCTTCACGTAGATTGGTATGTGTATGTGTGTGTGTATATATATATATGTACATATATATATATATACACGTATTATGTATAGCTTTTTCGGGATACAGAGAAACGAATCGAACAAAAGAAGATTCGGTCGAACGATTTTTCGGGATCGCGACGCGATCAGACGACTAATAACGCGTTAATAATAACGTGTTCTTCTAAATAAATAGGCTGTAATATATGTGTATATAAAAAAAAAAAAAGAGGACTCACGCAATACACCATTCACGCAAGCGTTCATACCGTAAGCTAACAGGCTACCTAAAGGCTACCTAAATGCTAGCTAAGCCTACCTAAAGGCTTGCGAGTAATTATACCCATTCGCGACCGTGTTGTCGCGTCTCATCTTACCTTTCCTTCGCGAATCAATCGACCGCCCGTCACGTTTACCGCTTCGATCGCCGGCGCTCGTTCCACCACTCTGTTCAACAGGTTCTGGATACGGCAAGGACGAAAGATGAAGAGAAGAGAAGAGAAAAAGAAAAAAAAAAAGAAAAGGCAATATCAATATAAAATATCAACGAGAGAATATCAACAGAGAAGAAGAATCTCTCCCTCTGCCCCGTTGTTACCTTCGCGTTCTCCACCTCGAGCCTGTTGTACGACTCGTCGACGAAATCGACCTCGTTTCTATAAGCGTGTTCCAATTGTTGGGCCAACGCGTAGGCCGTTTCCGCGCTACGAAGTCTGTCAACCAGCTGGCCGCAGATGTTGGTCCACCTCGAGTTCAGCCTGTTCACCTCGTCGTCCAAACGGTCCATGTCTGAGTGAGGGCCACGATGGCTCGTTCTCGATTTCTCGACGAGGCGTCTCGCGTTGTGCGCGTCCTCGTTCAACTGATCCATCGCTGTCTGCTGTTGAGCGATGGCGTTTTGAACCACCATCAAGTCCTCCAACACGTTTTGCAACCCTTTTATATCCGAGGGCAGCTCGTCGAACGAGGCCAACTTCACCTCGATCTCGGATATCGCGCTCGTGTTCTCCTCCAGTCTCGAGAGCACGATCTCCACGCACTTCAAACGTTCGATGTACAGATTGCTCGAGTTCCAGATATGGGTCCACTTGGTGGTCACGGCGTCGAGCTTGTTCCTCATGGCGGGCGTCTTCAACGTGATACCGCGGAAAGTTTGCTGGACCCTGTCCAGATCGGGGGCCAATCGTCTCAGGCTTTGCTCGAAGTCTTTGTGCTGCAAAACCAGGTGCTCCAACGTGTCCATGTCCCTTGGCAACGGGGCGGCCACGCGACAATTCAACACCCTCTCCGCCTCGTCGAGGGATTGTTGAAGCGTGGAGATCTGCTCGTTGAAAATCCGCCCGGCGTTCTTCGACTCCTCCTCCGCCCTCGCCCGCTTCTCCAGATCGTCGAACAGCTTGTTCACCTCGGCCATCTCCCTCTTCAACCGTCTCAACTGGGGATCGGCCGGATCCCCCTCGGACAACAGCTTCTCCGCGTCCTCGTTCAACGCCTTCCTGATCGCCGTCCTCTGGTCCTGGCCCATGGCCAAGAATTGCGGCAAATCCCAACCTTTCACCACCTTGATCGTAGCGAAAATCATGTTCTGCCTGAGACGAAGCTGCTTCCGTTGCCACAGCGCTATGCTCCTGTCGTATTGCCGTCGCAGTCTCTCCGCCGCGTCGAGCGCCTCCTTGTCCGGCGGTTGAAGAGCGAAGCACACGCCGGGAACCGGCGTCTCGATCCCCTCCTGATTCTTCACGCGCCATTTTATCCTGCCCGAGTTGTCGTACAGCGTGCACTGCTCGCCCTTCTCGATCGACATCTGAAAATTCGTCTGATCCTCGAGCAACGATTCTTCTCTGAATCGACGTTAACCCTTGTCCTACGAATTCTCGGAAATTAACAACAAGCGAGAAGTTGTTTGTCGTTCACATTTGATCCTAACGAAATAGTCCGGTTCGTTTGTTGTTTACATTTGATCCTAATGAAGTACCACGAGTCGTGCTTATACTTTTTGGCCCACGATTTCTTATCACGAGTCTATCTCACTGGTCGTTGTAGGACAAGAGAGTATTAATTCTTTCGCTACTACGGGCGACTATAATCGCTCTGCACAAGATGGCACTGATGTACTACGGACGACTCTAGTCGCTCTGCACAAGATGGCACTGAGCTACTACGGGCGATTATAATCACTCTGCACAAGATGGCACTGAGGTACTATGGGCGACCATAATCGCTCTGCACAAGATGGCGCGTATCGTACGATATATGGAGCGATTGGAATTATTGAACATCGAGTATCTCTCCCTGGAAATGTCGATACTTTTACTCATCAATTTTTTTTTTCAATAAACACCGTCGAAGCAAGTCGAATTGTAGCGAGGCGTGGTCTGTTGACGATCTTTCTCGAGCACCGTGCACATTTTTGGCAGAGAAGTCAGCCGTAGTAGCGAAAAGGTTAAAGAAACAGAAGGGAGTGTACTTACGTTAACCTGTTTGTAACTGCACACGCAAGTGACTTGCATGGGTCGCGTGACGGGTTGTCGGCGTTGCTTCATAGGGATCACGTCCTTGGCCTGGTCGACGAGCTTCTGCACGTGGTCGCCGTAACCGTTCAATTCCTCCCGCAATTCTTGCATACCTTTCAACAATCGTTCCCCCTCGTCCAACGAGAAATCGGATTGGGAGTAGATGGTGTTGAGTGTCTCGTCCCGCTTCGAGATCCACTGTTCGGCTTGTTGGATGTCGCGGAAAAATTGTTGGCTCTGGGCCGCGTGTTTCAAGTGGACCTCGAGGCAGAGGGTCAGTTGGAGGAGCCAGGCCCATTGGCTCTGCATGGCGGACATGTAGGCCTCGATCGTCTTCGCGGCAGGATGATGCTGAAGGACAAGGGCCTCGCCCCGATCCTGCACTGCCGAGAATTGGATCTCTCGCTTCTCCAGGTCGCTCATCAGGGACTGCGAAGAAAGGAACGATGATTTTTTTCTTGGAATCGACTCGTTCATTTTTCGAATTCAAGTTTTATTGCGACCCTTTGCGCTCGAATATTAAATTAACGCATAAAACTTTTATAGTTTAATATCTTACGTGCCTTCGCGTATAAAAGGAGAAAATTTGTCGAATTTTATTAAATAACGAAAAACTCATCTAGAACTAATATTCCAATAACATGTTCTCACATTCTATTATTCTTATTTTTCATCCTTTTATATTATACATTTCTATTTTTATTATCACTATCTTCCTTCGTTCTATCATCAATTTCTGAATGAATAGAAATAATTTCGTTATTTAATAATAAAACTTTGAAAATAATATGAACTAGTCAAACTAACGTCTAACAAAATTTAGTTCAATCCAATTTTAGAATTAAAAAATTTAACCATTCGACAATATATTATTCTACACTTTATACGTAAAGAAAGCTTCTAGGAATCTATTCGTGAAGCGATTATATTTAAAAAAAAATCAAAGGTAAATAAATATCATCGAGTCGATCCAAGTGATAGCCTCTCCAAGCGCAAAGGGTTAAATTTATCATTATTATTTTGTTCCACAGTTACCTCTATACCGGATCCGAAGGTACGCTTGTTGCACAAGGAGAAAGGAAAAGGAATAAGATTAGCGATTACAATGATGACCCTCCACCTCCCCTCCTCAATAATTTAAATATACCTCGTAATACTGTTCGATGCTCTGCACGTTCAAATTCTTGTCGCTCCAGTCGCGCGTCACTTCCGTCTCCTCCTTGGAGCTCAACCAGACCAACTCGCCCGTGGCCGATTGTATGAAATCGAGCAACGTGTCGAGGTCGGATAGCCTTTTGTTCGAGGCGGCCAACAGCTCGGTGTAAAGTTTCTGAAGCACGGCCAAATGTTGGCTGTACAACGTCGACTCCTCGCCGTGGAAGTGGCTCTTGGCCTGCACGCATCTGTCCACCTTGGGATGGAATTGCTCTATGTTCTTGTGCTCCTTCTGATGCACGTCCAACTCGTTCTGCACGCCCGGCAGGTCGGAGCCGTAATCCGCGTCCTGGAGCTGCTTGATCTTCGCCTTGCACCAGTCGATGCAGTCGTGCAACGAGCGGAAGTGCGGGTTCGTGTCGACCAGCCGGGTCTCGTGGACGGTGGTGCGATGTTTCGTGACCACGCGCTCCTCGACCGGGAACGAAACGGCCGAGAGCGGCTGCACCAAACGTTTGTGAAGAAGAGATCGCAGCGCGACCCACCGTTGATGTAGCTTCTGAACCCTAAAATAATCGGGACAGGATTAACTTCGCGCTCCAGGCGTGAAACTTTTATATTTTAATATACTTTACGCGTAAAGAAGGATAAATTTCGTCGAATATTAACCCTTTGTTAATTTATATTTAAGAGTTAGTTACCAATCGAGCAACGAAAGCCTCTAGAATACAATTATTTTATATTATACGTAAATATCGACGTACGAGTGCAAACAGTTAAAATCTATATCTTTGTTTCGAGCGATATTTTGATAATAATTATCGAGATGCATCTATCTCATTTGACAAAATTAAGATTGCACGTAAAGAGAGTTTAGGAGAATATTCTACTCACGAATATTCGATATTCTCGAAAAGAATCGAGAACATAAATAAATATCGGAGAGCAAAAGTTTAAAATTAGAAAAAAAGAAAACGTGCCTTTTGTGCAATTCGGCCGCCTGGCTGTATCGTCCTTCGGTAAGCGTGTGCACGTCGGTAAAAATATTTTGAATCTGTATCTCGGTGTTACGGATGTCCTGCTCGAGCAGATCGACGGCGTGTTTCGCCTCCAAAGGATGAAGTCGGTCGAGACGTCTCGCCTCGTCCTCCACCCTTCTCTCGAGCTCCTCCAGTCGATTATCGGTCGATTTCATCTCTCTGTGCACTTTCTCCGCCAATCGTTGCAGCCGTTCGAGCCTTAAAACAGAGAGGGGAAGGGAGGGGGAAGATCGAGAAACATCGTTTCGAGAATTCGTCGATTTTCGAGGTGAAATTCGTTAAAAATGAGATTCTTACCGTTTTATCTCGTCAACGATCGCCTGCTCCCTCTCCTGGTGCAGCATCATCAATCGGTTCCAATTCTTCTCGATAACCTCTATGTGAAGCTCAGGCTCGATGTCCACCTCACCGACCGCCTCGAAATACTTCTGAAGATCCCTAAACAGATACGAGAGGCGCTGCTTGTCTCTGTACCGCGGCGGCACCTCCTCGTTCTTGAATTTCGTACTGTCCGCGGCCAGTTTCTTCATCTCGATCAACGTTGGAGGGAAGGAGCGCTCCTGCATCAGGCACATCTTCTCGCGGATCCACAGATGAAGGGAGCTCGCCAGCTCCCTGTACTCCTCCGACCTCCTCTGGGCCTCGGCATCGTACAACGGATGAATCGGCGGCGGCTCCGGGAACACGTCGTAGAGCGAAGAGATATACGTTATCAAGGACTTCTCGTCCGGTTCTGGGGTGTCCACGTCTGAAAAACGATCGCGGTTCGTACATTGTCCAAAAAAGAATCGGTTTTATCGACCCTTTGCACTCGTATAAGCGACATGTTTTATCATGTTGCAATTCGTATACGTCGCCATACAATCGCCATCCTACATTGTACGTTATCAATGTAAATATGTGTTCAGTATAATTACATTACATTGTTGCCTTGATTGGTAACAAAAATACCTTAAATATAAATACGAGTGCAAAGGATTAGATTTTTCCTCGAATTTTTATTACGTCAGTTTTTCATTGCGCGTCGGGTTTTCTTCTTGTTACCTACTGCGCAGTTTTGCTTTTTAGCTAGTATTTTTTAGTAATTTTGTAATCGTTACGGTGAAAGATGGAGAAATTTATCGCAGATAGGTTATATCCGATGTAGGAAGTGATAATGAATCGGGGAACTGTGATGAAGAAAACGACGACAGTGAAATTGTAGCTCTCAGATAAAATATCCTCTCAAAACTCTTGCAAAGTCTGTAGCTCGAAGAAAGGAAAAGAAGGAATGTATACACTGATTCTGTCAGGTTCCACTTAACAGGAGTGTACGTTTTACAAAATGTCACACTCGTAAGAAATACTAGTCGTATAAATAAATAACTTTGTAAAAATTTTATCGAGAATAGCGTCGACTTAACAAAACTGCAACGTTTTAAAAAAAAAAAAAACCGTTAACACACAACCGTTTATTTAATCTTCTTAAAAGATCGAGAAAGATAGAGAAAAAACAATCCGTCCGTTAAGTGTTAAAAAAAGGAAGAAAGGAGGAAGGGAAAAAAAACAGGGTGAAAAAAGAGAACGAAGCGTCACGGTCGAAGTGTCGTCGAGCGGAAACTGGTGTATATAACATATATATACATACACGCACACGAGTGGAGAGCGGAGAAAGCGGGGGAAGGGGAGGAGTAGCGGGCGAGCAGCGAAGAAGCAGAGGAGAGGGGAAAGAGGGACGACGACGACGACGACGACTACGACTACGACGACGGTTGTCGTCGTTGTTACCTTCAGGATCGAGAAGCCTCGTAACGCCATACTCGCGCTCCGCGACGTTGAACACACGGTCGAGCCGCTCTCGTGGTTGGCTGGCACGGGCGTTCCTCCAATCGACCAGGTCCGGTCTGTTTCGATGGATCAACGCGCTGAAAGCCAATCCATCCCTCCACGACCCGGTGAAGTCCGTGACGCGCACTCCGGGATAGCGCGCCGTCGATCGTCTGGCCCATCTTAGAAGCGCCTCCCGGGCGGTCACGTTAGGCTCCTGACCCACTACGATGTCGGATATCTAGGAGAAAAAGGAAATCGTGTTATTCCTCGTTCCTCGACGAGTCATCCTTTCACGTCACGAGCGCATATATATATATATATATATACACACGTAAAATCAGTTTGTTCATATTTTTATATAACATATTAAACAATATATCTAATTTTGACGCGTCGACCTCGATGATGTCGTATCCGTTTGGTTCGCCCTTCGATATTCAGAGGTGTCGAGCGACGAAAAGAAGCGCGAACCTGGGGACGAACACGACGACAACTAATCCCCTAGAGCTCGAGAAAATGGGAAGGGCGAAAATTGGGAGGTGGATCGCGCTTACCCGAACGGTTTTCGGTTTTGGCGAGGCCTGGCGGCTTAAAGAGAAGGAGGAGGAGGAGGCGGCGGTGTCCTGTAAATAGCCGGATGCGGCGCGTTTCGTCAGATCCTCGGCCACGCATCTCTCCTCGCCCCGTGTCAAGGTGGTCGTTTTACGAACGATCCGTGTCACGATACGCTTGGTCCCGTTCTCGCCGCGCCTCGACGTCTTCGTTGACTCGATCGACGATCCTTCGAGAATCGGTTGGTGAATCAGTGAAACGGGCGAATTCCGAAACGTCCGATTGCCAACAATCGTCGTTCGATCGCCTTCTCCTCCCTTTCTTCGATCCATCGATCGATCAAGTGGATTGGAAATCGCGTCACGATCCACTCTCCGAGCTTGGCCACATACCAACTTAGCACCATCCACAAGCTGTGATCGTGCCGCGACTTCCACACGCGACTTCCCTTAAACGCGATCGAAAGGAGGGAGAGGGACGAGAGAACGTTCGATGGACGATGGAGGAGTCGTCCCTTCCTACCTAGAACCTCGGTCGAGAGCCTTCGCTTCGTGTAAATAGCTCTGAGATCGTCGGCGGGCGTAGCGGCGGTCGAGGCAGACGAAACCACGTTCTCGCGGGGCTCGTCCTCCCTGGTGCCTTGCACGAATAGCCGGCCACCCTTGCTGAACCGATATATCGACATGATGGTCGATCGTATCGAACAACCTTTTTTCCCCCCTTCTCGTGTGTTTTCCGCGCGGGGAAGACTCCGATTCCCTCCAACGAGCTAACATCGACCTCCGGGAAAAGAGGTTCGGCACGTACGGCCGTTCATTCGTGGCCTTATCCGGCGTCTCGGTTCCCTCCTCGTTTTACTACGGCACGCGCGGTCGCGCTCTCGTGAAAGCCGATTATCGATGTCTCGAAACGAGACGGAGATCCCGCGCGAGAGTAGAAAAACGAATTATCGTTTCGTCGAATACGAGTGACGATTCTTATCGAGTGTACGAACGGGAGCGATAGCACGAGGACGTGTAGCTCGTGTGGATCGTCGAAGGGAAAAAGGATCGTAAGGAACCGAGATGTTCACTGGACCAAAAGGCGATGTCGAGGGAGAAGAGAAGGGGAGGAGAGGAGGACGATTATTAGATGTAGAGATGCGAAGAGATGAGATGACAGAAGAGAGATCACGTTGGAAATTGTTATTGGCCAAGGGAATGATAAGATTCGAGGAATTAGTGGTTATCAAAGAAGACACTCGATTACGGCAGGTATATACACGCGCGCGTATCGCGAACCGACTGCCTCGCACTACAGGTAGCTGATCGAGAGGCGCGGAGATCCCCACTTCGAGTTCGTTTCGTGCTTCTTTCGTTCGCTCGCACGTTTCACCGGTAAGGCTTCGCGATGATGTGGTTCGTCGTAGGTTGTCCCTTAGCCGCTGCCGTCGCAGCCGCGACACGTGTGCCCTCTCCGTTCCTTCCTTTCCAACGATTATTTCGATTCGAACTTTGTCGAGGGAAACGCGATGATAAAGAAAAAAAAAAAAAGAACAGCGATCGAACAGCGATTCACCAAACGACCGACAGCGTGTCGCGTTGTATCCGGCTGCCGTCGCGAGAGTAGGCCAACGAAATGCGCACAGGTGAGAGACGCCTCCGACATTCCCCCCCCTCTTCGTTCCCCACTCTCTTTTTCTCTAACGTCCCTTCCTCCGTCTCCTCCCGCGTCGATCACCGCTCGTGCCTGTCATGCCATAGCACGCGTATGCTCTCCATTCCGTCCTCCGTTTCGCTTCACCGTCGTCGTCTTCGTCTTCGTCTTCTTCTTCTTCTTCTTTTTCTTCTTCTTTTGCTTCTTCTTTCACTTCCGCAAAAACAATCGGTTTTGTCCTCGATCGCTATTTTTCTGCTACAGCAACTCTGGTGCAAGAGCGAGAGCGCATGCGCTCGCGATATCGGCCGAGCGATCGGTCGGGGAAACAGAGACCGTTGCAACGAGGCGAAACGCTCGGAGGGAAGAGGGGGGAGAGGCCCACTTCGCGACGCTTCGTTTGCCGTTCGTCGCGCATCGTGTCCTTCCTCCTTTTCCTTTTCCAGAGATTTTACGATTCACCGTGGCGCGGTAAGCGCCGCCTTCGTCCAACACCGTCGATGCACCGATTACAGGTAAATCGCGCACTTACCTAATTCGTGCCGTCGCGTCACTCGCTCTCTCTCTCTCTC